TTATGGACGGGGCTGCTAACCATACGGTCGGCAGTTCAAAGCACCGGTTCTACTGCAGAAGAAAGATGGAGCTTTCGACCCCAACTAAGATCTACAGTTTTGGAAACACGCCAAGTCAGTTCTACTCTGTCCCTTAGGATCACTGAGGAAAAGGACTCTGGGGCAAAGAGTCAGGTGAGGACTTTCAAGTTACTCAATGAGCAAGGAGAAAGTGAACAAAAGAGCAGGTGCAACGAATATGCTCTGTTCTTTGGCGCATAGGAAGTATCCACGAAAGTTTGCGGTGACATTTTATTAAACACATGTGCAAATTTAAAAAATGCATTGGGATTCAAACTAGCGATTAAACCAAAACTCAATGCCATCTAGTCAATTCTATTAGTGACCCTATATATATAAAACAAAGTAGACCAATTCCCTGGGTTTCTGACTCTTTATGAGTAGAAAGTCACATTCATCTTTCTGCCTAGGAGCAGGTTAGTGGGTTTGAACTGCAGACCTTGAGGGTCGCAGCCCAACAGGTAAACCACTACACCACCAGGACTCCTACTAAACTAGTGAGTACTGCCTATTATATCACACTTGCAGTATTTTAAAAGACAAAAGCAAGTCTGCCTTTGCCAAATATTTGGCATGGGTAATAGAACAATTTACTTTCCTCAGATATAAAGAATAAAGACATACAATAACATCAAAATATCAATAATATCAGAAAATAAAACTATAATGTACCAATGACCATGTAAACTCATGTGGGCCTGTAGCTTCTCAGACATCAGAAAATCTCATTTTCCAACAATAAATAAGGAAACATTTCACTCCCTAAAAGAGGTAACTAAAAGATCTTCCAATTTCTCGAAGGCTGAGCCATCTAGAACTTACAATCAAAGCATTCTCTCTTATTCCTATCAGGGAAGATGTCTGTTAGCATTCTGCAGATACAGTTAATGTTCTCATTGTCAAACCCATCATGCCCAAGCATGTCACTAACAGCTTTGCTTTAATTATAGTATCACCTCATCCTTGAATACAGATCCCACAGGTAGCCCTCAAAAGCTACTATGATACCTGCTTGTAAACAGAATGGCATAGTACTATCAATTATACATCAGGCTTTCAATGTTTATAACTACAGTCATGTGCGGCATAATATCCATTTGGGAACACCCAATTGAATATAACAGAGTTCAGAAAAATTCTGATTAGAGAATGGAATGTAAAAACTCCAACAGCTTTTTGCACTCAAAATGTGTAACTCGTGTACCTTGTATATGAAGTGACTGTGATGTCAAACTTATAATTGTCAAACAAACAAACTCATGGCCATTCAGTAAATTTTGACTCGTAATGACCCCTACAGGGCAGGGTTCAACTGTCCCTGTGGGTTTCAGAGAAAGTAACTCTTTACAACATTGGTTCTCAACCTTCCTAAAACAGCAACCCTTTAACACAGTTCCTCGTGTTCTGGTGAGACCCCAATCATAAAATTATTTTCGTTGCTACTTCATCACTGTCATTTTGCTACTGTTACAAATCGGGAGACCCCAGTGAAAGGGTCATTCGACCCCCGAAGGAGTCATGACCCACAAGTTGAAAACAGCTGTTTTTACAGGGATAGAAAACACCATCCTCCACAGAAAGACGAATGGCTTTGAACTGCTCCTCTTGTGTTTGGCGGCCCAACAGGGTACTACTACAGTACCATAAAGCCTGTAATACATGTTTTCACAGTCAGAGTAAATACCTGTTACTGGCTTACATATGAACTGGCTTTTCCATCTGAAACGTTTTTGTGGACAATCTATGCTTCTCCTTAGAGGTATTAGCATCCAGTCTTGGGTATTACATATCTCTTGAGGGCATACTCTGTTTAATTTTCCTTTGAAAATATTGCCACTATGTGCACCGTGACTTCCAAATGCCGCAAAAGTCATGATAGCAGCAGTGAGAGGCAAAGTATCTACTCTGAAGTCACACATATAAAAGTAGGACGCCAGAGCATGTGATTTATTGCACAGGATTTATGCATGTCCTCCTCTACAATCACGACAATCTTCTAAAACTAACAAACACAATTTTCCATTCTGTTAAGGTGTGGCTCCATTCAAAGTTACAAAGCTAACAAAAATCCAAGAGTAATCTGTTAGACACGGAGACATTGCTAATGATGTGACTTGAGGATCATGCATAAAAAAACTAAATTCCTCTCACCACACACACCGACGATCACGAGTGAAGATGAAAATCAGAACCAGACTAAAATACAAGTGTTTGCACAACATCCACACCACAGAATGTCCATCTGTATTGTGGACAGTAGATTATATACGACTGGTTTCATCCCAATACCAATTAAAATAACCAATACTTAAAGGCTAAATACTCTATAGTCAATCAACTAATCCTTTTAATGATACTACAAAGCAATTATTATTATGCTCATTTTACAAATAAGCTAATTACAATTTAAGGAGTTAAAAGGGCTTACCCCCAAGAATACAAGATAATAGTAACTTGGGCCAGATTAAATACAAAGTGTATTCTCCTTCCACTATGCCACACAACCTTGATCCTAGTTTACTACTTAAAATAAGGGCAATACTAATCACTCATTTACCTAAGACAATGAGAACAGATTTAAATCCACTAGTACGCACATGAAAAAAATAAGCGTTAATAGTGGTAGTTGGTTTTGTCACAAAATACAAACGTTTTACTTAAAATACTTTTATTTTCTTCTTTCCATTGTCCTTCATTAGTCCAGAGGCCACTGTCTCCTGCCCATGTTCTATAGTTTCCTAACCCTTAAAACTTCTCTCTCCGTCACCAATGCGTGCTAGACTGTGGTCAAAGTAGCATTTCCAAATCATTGTCACCTGCATCCTCAGAAAGACAAAACAACCTATTGTTGCATGTTTTGCTAAATGGAAAAACAATATCCGTGACAGAAATTTTTAAATCTAGATAATTAAAGAAGCATGAAGGAAATAAATCCATACTCATTCTGCTATTCAAAAAACAACCATTCTAGTGCAGTTCTATTTTCAATGCCAACTTTCTTTTTAATTAATTAGATCATATTTCCAATGCAGTTTTTATTCTTTCTACAGGAAAAGGCATATATATTAGAGCCTCATATGCACTTTTAATAACTACAAACGGATGTAACACTGGCTGCGTTCTTGTGTTAACCAGTCTTGTACTGCTAGGCTGTGTGCAACCTACTACTGGAACAAATAAATCCTATGAAAATGCCTATGTCCAAACATCTGAGTACATACATTTCAGATTATTTTTCCAGCATGGATTTCAGGAAGTAAAATTACTTGAATTGTTTTCAGAAATCTATACAAATCTGCCTTAAAGGGTATTTCAAAAAGTTTGTGGAAAAATAAAATTGAAAGATAACGAGATGTTTCCTTTAACTTTTTGCAACACCTTGCATTACTGCGTAAAACTCTTAGATGTTTTTACATTTCCACATTTGAAGGCTCACAAGTATTTTTAAGCACCTAAACAGTTCATTTTAAGTTTTTCAAAATGGAGCAAGTTTGGGGATTTCAAAATGTTTGTCTTAATTTACAATCTTGACCCACTCCCTCTAATTCTTTGTCATTTAAGATATACGTACATGCACACACACTTTCAAATCTAGCCCAATTAATAGCAATCCCTAAAGACAGAGAATTAACTGCCTTAGAGGCACCCCCACCCCTCACCCCACAGTATTTTTCAAGGAAGCAAACTACCAGGTCTTTCTCCTGCACAGCAGCGAGGCAGGTTTGAACCACTAACCTCTCCATTCCACAGCTGAGTGCCCAGTCATTTTTACTGCCAAAGCTCCTTTATGTATACAAATACACACACTAATCCAAGGAAGCAGTTCTGAATGCAAAACAAACCAGAAACTGTAAAGATGTACTAAGGTGTTTCCCTGATACTCAGGAAGTTTCCAGATTGCAAATGGTTTTGTTCCTAATTCTATCTTTAATTTGAATTTGTGGGTAAGCAGGCATAATTTAATGGTGTTTGTATCTAATGCCAGTTTGTCAAATATTTGTGTTAATATATAGTACACCTTCCTATGTATAAAAACATTAACTATTTCAAGGTACACTAAAACATCTAACATAATGATGAAGTGATAATAGTGTTTTCATGTGTATGGCCAACTGGTACCTCTCTACTATTATAAACCACTGTATGTACATCAAAGTCTTCATATGAAGGCTTTGGGATGGGATTGGCTTCAGCTACAGGTTGTATATGAGCTGGAAGTTAGCAACTCAGGACTACCTGTCATGGCAAGTAACGCGCATAGTCCGCCTCCCAGCAGTCCTGCAGAGGGTCCCAAGATAGCACATCTGCGCAGGAACAGGAGCCTCGTGTTTCTCCCAGACACTAGCAGGCATGAACCACTACCTTTGCCACAGTACACACTTTACACAGTCTCAGTTTTCCAGCCTTATAATGGTATCGGTAAAAAAATGATGCGGCAATGGCAAGGCGCAATTCCATATGTATGACAACCAAGCCAAAAAAACCTCAAAAACACAAATTCACTGCTATTGCGTTGCTTCCAACTCAGTGACTTTATAGGACGGGATAGAACTGCCCCCTGTGAGGTCCCAAGAGAGTAACTCGTTAGGGTTACTGTAACTCGTCAGCAGAGGTGGGAGGGAGAGAAAGGGGTGGGTTTTTGCTTACCAGAACACTGAGTCTTTGTTAGTGGTGGGATGATTTGGAAAAGAACAGTCAGAATAATTACACAACTTGAACAATATAAGCAATGCCACCAACTGTACATGTACCAATTGTTGAGCTGCCATATAGTTATTATCATTTCCAACATAAAAAATACATGAACATTTAGGAGGTTCTATCAGTTTGACAGATAATGGGTGATTTGTACTTCTTACTTCTGTCTAGATAGTTTACCTATATGGTCAAATTTTTGAGACATTTAAAATATATTCTTAAAATCTTGTAAGATTACTCACCACATTATAATAGCTTTTATTAATTGCAGTCGTATCAAAGCCTTTAGGAGGGCTCTTCAATGCTCCTGACTTGGGAGACACAGGTTTCTCTGAAATAAAAATTTAATGCAGTTTTACTTCATCAACAGTAACCAAGAGGGCAATGAATGTACAAATGCGCTTTATACAATTGATGTGTGTATGGATTGTGATAAGAGTTGTATGAGCCCCTAATAAAATGATAAAAAACAACAACAACAGTAACCAAAACCCCATTGTCATTGAGTCAGTTCCAACTCATAGCTATCCTGCACAGGGTTTTCAAAGCTGTAAAATTTCCAGGGAGCATAGGGCTTCATTTTCCCACCGATGAACAATAGAGGTCAAGAACTCATTAGAACATGGGACCCTCATACATGCCCGCTCTCCTCTCCCATCAACCTCAAATAAGTAACCAAACATGTAACAAAGAAGGGGCCTCCAAGTAGCTAAAAGATGCACTAAACCTCACATCGTTCTCAATTGTATTAATTACAGCTCATTCATGAGGACATTACTCATCCCTTTCACCCGATTTCAGACTGGAACATCTCTAAGACAGCCTATGTTCTTTACCATCAGTGAAAGAAAGAACCTCTTAGCTATATGCACAGCTAATAAGCATAATAAATATGAAGCATTACTAAAATAACAGAAAAAAGTACATATGTAATGATATGAAAAATAGAAATTCACAATTCTGGAGAATGTTATAGGGATTCAGTTCAATCTGAATGCAGGTCTTTCTAAAGCAGAGATTGCTTCAAGGCTTAAACGAACTGTCATGCATATGAACTCGATAAAGACACACCAAACAAGCACAAAAATCGGGAAACTAAGAGCATGGGTTGGAATGAATACAGTGTAGAAATAACTGAACAAACTGAATTCTTATCAGCATATCAATAAGCAATGAGCATTCAAAGAGAGAAAGCAGATTTACAGTTTTGAATACACCCAGCGAAGTGCTAGACCACTGAAGACCCTCCACTCATAAAACACATCTCCCTAAGAACCTCTACAGCAGGCACATAATTTAAAGCTGTCACAATTACATTAAGGATTCAGATTTTTAAAACTGCACAGCTCTCTGGATGTGTGTGTGATATTTTGATGGATTGACTGATTCTCCATGGCTGCCATGGGCTGCCAGAGACATAAATACTTCAGTGTCCACCTTTAAAACACTATCATCATGCTACTAGCACATATAATAAAATTATTAATAACCCATTATCTAGTGCTTAGTCTATATTCAAATTTCCCATTGCTTTTTATTATAATGTCTTTTTATAGTCAACTTATTTGAATCGTGAACCAAATAAGACTGACACAGTGCAAGTGGTTTTTAGGCCTCTAGATCGCTAGATTTTATACAAATACTGCCTCCTAATTTCTTGTTTCATGCTAGCAGAGAACACAGAAAATGGCTGCTCTATTGTTTATTCCACCTACTCTTCTCTTCCTAGAGCCTCATGGAAGCTCTACTAAGGGCAGGACTATTGTCCATTTCCCATTGCTAGACCCCCCAGTCCCACAACAGCAGTCATTAGGGTTGAACAGATCTTGGTAGTGGTTTTAAAAGCAAATGTACTTATTAACAGATTTGGAAATATAATATTAAAAATGTAGCTATCAAAGGCAAAATGTTAAATAAAGTCAAGTTCTCAGTTCACCAAGTGATGCAAATCAAGAATAACTGCCATATATCCGTGAAATACAAATTAAGAATTTAAGTATACTAGCCAGCATTACCAATTGAGGAAATCAACTTAGGAACATAATAAAAGTACAAAGAACAGACTTGAAAGGAGGGGGGAAGAGAGAAGAATAATCTTGGAGTGCTAATTTCCTTTTATATTAAAAGTCATAACTTAATGTTTAAAATAAATAAATCAAAGCGGGGACATCTAGATATGCCGCAACAAGTTATAGAGGTAGTTATTAACAGGAAGATAATAGTTTAATACGTAGGGGATCCCTGTTGTGAGAGACCAGAGGTAAGGAGAGGAAGAATAAGAGATCTCTATTTTCATCAGGTAAGCTGAGCTCTTCTGCCCTACTGTTAGGATTACATGTTGGCATTACGGAGTCGCTAGGTGCCACAAATAGTTAAGCACTTGGCTATTATTTGAAAGGTTGATGCTTCAAATTCATTTACAAGTGTCTCAGAAGACAGGCCTGGCTTTCCACTTCCAAAAGGCCAGTCTTGAAAAGGCTATGGAGCAGAGCTCTACTCTTGCATACATGAGGGTGCCAGCAGTTGGGATCAACGTGGTGGCAATTAGCCACACAATGCGGAGCCAAAACAACTTCGCAAGTTGATTGAGACGTTTCCTAGAAATCGGGGGTGCTAATTAAGATAACTGCAAAGCTGACATACAGTGTATTTCCACTGTGCATAGATGTTTTGATGAGTGCTCACATACTATATTAATCTGGAGGAATGTTAACTTCCAACTTCCAGATGAAATTCCAAACTATTTAAGGACTGATCTGTTTGGACATTTTACTGACAACCCACC